GGCCTAACTTCCGACCAGAAATGGCCGGAAGTTCACCGTTGTGGCCTTTTCCGGCCAGATCCACCACGGATCTGGCCGGAAAAGGCCAGATCTGGCTGTCAACGACGGCCAAAGAAATGGCCGTCGTTGACCGAAAACGACGGCCACATCTTTGGCCGTCGTGGCCCTCGTTTGGCCTTTTCCGGCCGTCGACGGCCATAACAGACCGTAGATCTGGCCTTTTCTGGCCAGATCCACCATGGATCTGGCTGGAAAAGGCCATAACGATGTGTTACGGCACAGATCCGATAAGTCTGTGCCGTAACGAAATTTTCCGGCCAGATTCCAGCGGTGGTGGCCGGAATCTGACACTGCAGGTGGTGGGGGTGTTTTTGTCATTTTATATGTTAGGGTCTTTAGTTAAATTAGTAAACCTAAGGGCTTTTTTACAAATTTTTAAAATTTACCTCGTAATACTCCCATATCCAATAACCCAATACTATCCCTAAAATCCTATCCAAAATACTAAACCAAACGCACCCATCATGCATTTGGTTTAGTATTTTAGATAAGATTTTGGGATAATATTGGATTATTAGATAGAGGAGTATTATGAGGTAAGTTTTAAAAATTTATGAAAAAACCCTTGCGTTTACTAATTTAATTAAAGACCCTAATATATAAAATGACAAAAACACCCCCACTACCTGTAGTGCCAGATTCTGGCCACCACCATCAGAATCTGGCTAGAAAATTTCGTTATGACACAGATCCGTCGTTATGGATCTGGCCAAAAAAAGTCAAATCTACGGCCTGCTGTGGCCATCACGGCCGGAAAAAGCCAAAACGACGGCCATCTTTGGCCGTCGCTGACAGCCAGATCTGGTCGGAAAAGGCCAGATCGGTGAACTTCCAGCCATTTATGGTCGGCAGGTAGGCCGTTGTACAGATTTCGGCGATCACCGACGGTGGTTGTCGGAATCTGGCAAGTATGGGTCATGGGGGTGTTTTTGTTACTTTTTAAACTTTTTTTCAGGAGGTATTTAATGAAATTAGAAAAATAGGGTAATATTTCTGGAATAATATGCCAAACATTATTTGGAGAATAGGATTGAGAATATGGATAATAATAATAAGCCAAACATGCCCATTAGATAGTTGAATAGGGTGAGTATTACGAGGTAAAATTTAAAAATTTATAAAAAAATCCCTTAAATTTGCTAATTTAACTAAACATCCTAATATATAAAAATTTTATAAAATAACAAAAATACCTCAATTCACCCACAATGCCAGATTCTAGTCACCAACATGGGAATATCTTTCTTCCTTGAGTTTTATCCCGAGCTGATTATCAAAAGCATGAGGTTAGTAATTTTGTGGTTACAACTATTTTTTTAATGAAACTAACTCTAAATTGATTATTTAATTGTCACATCTATTTGTCTCAAAGCAATTTTCGACCGGCCTGATGGTGACCATATAATAAAATTGACATGGATGATTGTGATGGGCAAATCTCAGCTTTATCAAAACTCTCTGTTTGGTCACAAGAGCTCCACCATTCATCTCCAGGATATCATGATATCAAAATATTGAATTCTATATGACATAATAATGTCATGCATTTTTTCATAGAGGAAATGATGTATGAAAAGAATTCCATTGTCTCATAATATAAAAGGTCTTAAGATCCAATTAAGAAGATGGTTTAAATATAAATATATATATAATTAAAAATAATGATGCACACATGATCATGTGGAAACCATCATACATTTGATTCCACTATCATTTTTATGATAATCTAAATCACCGACTTAGCCCCATATGTTTCAGTTTTCGAGGCACCCTAATCTAAACCCTAAAAGTTGTCACCATTTCTTGTTTTGTTAATGGTTACAGTACCCAGAATAAAAGACAAGGTCTCCCCTGTTCCCGTACAGCCTTATTACCTAATATTCATCTTAATTATTCTTAGTTCATTTTTTTTTTTTTAATCATTTGTACCTATCTCGGTTAATCTTTAGGATATATTAAAGAAAAAACAATATTTTTCACCCAACGTTTGACGAAATAACACTTTCCCACCCTTTAAGTTTAAAAATGATACTTTCCCACCATTCGTTACGTTCTGTTTTGTTTTCCATTAATATTTTATTGAAAAGACGAAAATACTCTTAAAAATTTGATTTTATATATTTTTAATAAGCTAAAAAGTCAAAAAAGAGAAAGTAGTTAGTCCTCCACTTAAAAAGTTATAAGTAATGCAATAAAATTGTTTAAAGTTAAATTATCTTAATATTTATTTATTTATTTATTTATAATGTCATCAATATCTTATCACCATTATTCAATAATCTACTAAATTTATAATATTTTTTATAATATAATGTTTTTCATTTTTTCTAATTAATATAGAAAATCAATATTCCTAATTAATTAAATAAACAAAGAAAAAAAGAATCTTCACACTTGAACTAATAAGCACTCAAGTAAGTAAAGACTTTGACTTAATTAAATTTTAATTTATAATAAACTATTTAAGGGTATTTTCATCTTTTTAGTAAAATATTAACAGAATCTAACGAAAAGCAGAAAAGTGTCATTTTGAAACTTGACGGGTGAGAAAGTGTCATTTCGTCAAACCTTGGGTGTGAACATGTCCTTCTCCCTATATTAAATACTTTACAAATTTAAAGCATCAATAAATCACAATATGATAAATAACTCTAAGATCCGAACCCAAAAAAATAATGAAAAAAATAAACTTCGTTGATCACAAATTCCTCAATTCAATTTCTGGCTTAAAACTTGTTAACCAAGTCGGGTTACTTAATTATTGAAGAATCATAGTAGGGAAGCTTAACGATGATTGCTGATATGGTCAATCATAGATAGTTGAATGATAAACACAAAAAAGTGTGCTTACATAATTACCCATTAATTACAAAATAATTTCTTAATTAATTAACCCTTCTCTCTCTTTATGATTATGACCTTCACGATTGTAGAATTTTAGCAATCTCCAGAGATCGTCCCAAACAAACGTGGCCTCTCTCATGACATGCAGGGTCCTCTAAACAAACGTAAATATGATATTGGGTTTGAGTAGAACTCACCTTCAAAATCTAACGTAAAAAAAAAATGAGGAAATTCAACCATATATAACCATTGCAACTTAAATCTCCAGATCCTTGTTTTGAGTAATGTGTATATTGAAATGGTTGAAATATATAAAACTAAGTTTGTTTTGTTTGTTTGTTTGTGGCTGTTGTTGTTTATATAATTAATCTTGGAAGAGTGATACTGATATAATTTCACATGATATTGCAGCTTCGTTGTCAACGAATGGAATCAGATCTTGAAAAGGAGGGATCTGGGTTATCAAGTTAATGCATTTTTTTGTCTGTGTGTGCGTAACAGGGAGTGGAAGGTCAAATATTCTCGTGACTCAGTTATCCAGGAGAGAGGCTAATTACAGTAGAAAACGTCACTCAGCCTGGCTCAGTTTCTTATATTCTTTAAGTCTGACGTACGTTGATTAAGAGAAAATCAGAAAAAACTGTGAACTTTTCTGTGTAAATACAGTGCTCACATGTCGATTGGCGGAGCTCGCTGAAGAAAAATATTATATTGTCAGAAATCACACCTTCTTTAAGCAAGTCATTAATATTATATTGGCTTATATTTGACAGTACATTGTTGACGTTGCGTTTTCATCTGCAATCTGGGTTCAGTCTCTGAGAATGGAGGTCTGGTCAGGTAGTACTTATCCGACCACCACATGTGATCTCTTATCTACACACTGCGCAGCTCATCATATCAATGACATTGACTTTTCAGACCCCATTTAACGATTTCTTTCTTCACTTCTGCTGCAATTTTTGTAATGCACTAGTAGTTGCAGCTTGGTAAAGGCGTAATCCTACTCAAATGGGCTATATCTACTTTCGGCCTCATGGATTCTGCTTTGGGCTAAATTGTTCTCAACATTTTTGTAAGACCAATCCAAGATTAACGATTCTAGAGTCTACAGAAATTTACTACCCATGATTAGTTTGATACTAAAGCACCAACAAAAATAGGTGATGAGCTCATGAAGTTTCATATTTTTTCATTGGAGCTGCCAATGTCCTATATTAAGTTTTCCTTTAATTTTGCCATTGAAGCTCACTAATCTATTCGGAAATCGCGTAGCGAAAAATATACATTCGAAAATCATACCACACAAAGAGATAAGATATTTACGTGATTTGGCATAACCGACTTATATCCATCCATGAGAGAAATCCATTATTGTTTCATAAGAATACACAACACCATAAATCTTATACATAATTAACAGAATAGAAACAATCGTAGTTTCTAATCGCGCTTAACCTAGTACCTTGATGTTCTTACATTTTCATAACCTTGAATTGGTTCTCATTCATATATTTAAACGTAAGATATGAAACACTTATTTTCTAATAACAATCTCATAATTCTATTCTTATTTACAATCGTATTCTTTATTAAATAGTTTTACTACCTACATATAATTTACATGAGAACAAATAGAAAAGCGAATCACAATACCTTTACATTATTAAACTTTGAGAAAACGGTACAAATTAGCAAAAAGTCAAGCTATTGTAATATAATTTTTTTACATAAATTCATGGCCATTAATTCATGATAATCCAATGACTTAAAAATTGTTCAACTGACGTTAAAGATTAACTAATTCTAAATCTTATCCAAATCCATTGGATTATATTAAATCAATAATTATAAATTTGTGTCCCACACTTTAAACTCGGTGACGTCGTATTTGTCTGTGGGCTTTCGCCACGTTTCCATCCACGAGCCCCATAAATTAAAAAGTCTAAGCCTCAAAGGTTCTCGAACTCACACGAAAGTTCGTTAATCCAAAGCCCAGAGGGCCAGAATGTTTAAGCCGGAAAGTACTAGATTTCTCCTTTGTTTCTTATATATACCCAACTTACCCCTTTTCCCGATCGTCAAGCAACGATAAATTACAACGCTCTCGAGTCGCAGCGTTTAATTCAAACAAACAACTTTCAGCTCTAAAACTTTCGTTAGAGAAGATGGCATTGATCCCAAGCTTCTTCGGCAGCTCTCGAAACAACATCTTTGATCCATCTTGGGACCCGTTTAAGGACTTTACTTTCCCTTCATTTTCCGCTCATTTCCCTCAACAAATCTCCTCTGCTTTGGTTGACACACGTGTGGACTGGAAGGAGACCCCAGAGGCCCACGTGTTCAAGGTCGATCTTCCAGGGCTTAAGAAGGAGGAAGTGAAGGTGGAGATTGAAGATGACAGGGTGCTTCAAATAAGTGGAGAGAGGAACATAGAGAAGGATGACAAGAACGACACTTGGCATCGTCTAGAACGTAGCAGTGGCAAGTTCTCTAGGAGGTTCAGGTTGCCAGAGAATGTGAAGATGGATCAGATTAAGGCTTCTATGGAGAATGGAGTGCTCACTGTGACTGTTCCTAAAGTGGAGGTTAAGAAACCTGATGTCAAGGCCATTGAAATTTCAGGTTAAATTATTGATGGTCGTCTTGATCAACTTCAAAATGTCGTTTTTGTTTGTATAAAACTTCCTTATCTGGTTTGTGTTTATGACATTTAGAGACTTGGAATTTTATAATGTTGGTCTGTATGTAAGCCAATGATATGTTCCTATTCTAATTGAAGTCACCTCTTTTTTTTTTTTTTTTTTTTTTTTTTTTTTTTTTTTCATATTTTCCTTCTTCCTGCTTGCTTCCACCATTGCTGATCGGTCCAGAGACAAATTTTACTATAGGTAGTCTGATGTTTTGCTTGCCATCTTCTCTGTGTAATAAAGAGATGCTAATTTGACTTAAATTCTGTTTCATATGATTTGCAACAGAGAAAATCTCCAAGAAAGAAGAGAGATGGAAAACTAGTGTAGGGGAAGGATAGTTTGAGTTTCTTGTCCATTCCAGGGCTACATATATCCCATTCTTCAGCTAATTTTCATTCCAAGGGCTTCTCCATCACGGCTGCTCACACCCAATTAGTTTTCCGATGCTTCAAATCATCCCTAATTTATCTTCATGCCGTTATCAGAAGGCTCATTGCACACTAGTAAATTCCCTGATAATATTTTAGCTTTTATGTCTGATCTTAACTTAAACTGCAGAACTCCACTCCAGGAATTACTGATTCGAATCACTGAAAAATAGGACCAGTATGACAAGTTTCCCTGCGTCATTTATGATGGACTCATATACTTTGCAGAAGCAGTGGCTTGCAATCTGAAGCTACCAAGCATTATGTTACGCACTTCTAGTGCGACCGATTTACTAACGTATTATATGCTTATCCTCGGCTCCAAGAGGAAGGTGATAATGAACTCAACCTAATTTCTGATTCCCGAGACTACCACTTTTTGATACAGATTCAATGAATTTGGAATTAGTGCCAGGGCTTCATCTCCTCAGATTCAAAGATTTATCCATTTCCAAGTTCAAAGTACAAATGCCGTGCTGCAGCTAATATCTACTTCACGAGACATAGGAACATCATCAGCCATCATTTGTAATAGCATGGATTGCCTTGAACAATAATCATTGGCACAACTCCAACAACAATGTGAAGTTCCAGTTTCCTTAATAGGCATTATGCACAAAATGGCTCCAGCCACCTCGAGTAACTTATTGGAAGAGGACACCAGCTGCATGACATGGCTTGACAGGCAAACTCACAACTCAGTTATATGTCAGTTTGGGCAGAGTAGTACCCGTGGAGGAGAAAGAGCTATAGCAGAAATGGCTTGGGGCCTTGCTGATAGCAAACAACCTTTCTTGTGGGTAATCCTGATAAAGTTCATGGATCAGAATCTAGTGATTTATTTCCTTATTGTTTCAAAGAAACTGTTGGAGAAAGAGGGTGCATAGTGAAATGAGCACCGCAGAAGAAATTATTCGCACACAGCGTGGTGGGAGGTTTTCGGAGTCATTGTGGTTGGAATTTGACACTTGAAAGCATAAGTGAAGGGGTTCCAATGATTTGTAGACCATCTTCTGGGGATCAAGGGATGAACACAAGGTATGTTAGCCATGTATAGAGAGTTGGGCTTGTGTTGGAGAATGATCTGGAAAGAAGGGAGATAAAGAGAACTAATAAAAGACTGATGGTGGGAAAAGAAGGAGAGGAGATGAGGCAGAGGGCAGGATTTTAAAGCAAAGGCTCAACTTTGTATATGAGAAGGTGGTTCTTCCTATAATTCCTTGAATGAATTAATGGAGCTCATCTTGTCAGTTTAATTCCATAGACAGTTTAATTTTATCCCAATATTCAAATTGATGGAGGAAGTGAAGGTGGAGATTTAAGACGACAGGGTGCTTCAAATAAGCGGAGAAAGGAACATAGAGAAGGAAGACAAGAACAAACACTTGCCATTGTGTGGAACGTAGCAGTGGCAAGTTCTCAAGAAGGTCTGGGTTGCCAACCCTAAGGGGTTAGCCTGATCAAGGAGGTTTGCCCAATTCTTTGAGTTTTTGGGTTCAAACTTTGATGTTACCTATCATAATAATATTGTGACTAACTTAGTTTTTTAAGCTTGTAGGGTATTTAATAGACCTCAGGATTAGTTGAAGTGCACTGCCCCGAACACCCCAGTTACCAAAAAATGTCAGAGAATTTGAAGATTGAAGAGGTTAAGGCTTCAAAGGAGAATAGAGTGCTTAGTGTTACTGTTCCGAAAGTAGAGGTTAAAAAACCTGATGTTAAGACCATTGACATTTCTGGTTAAAATAATGATTATTGCCCTGATCAACTTCAACATTGTCTGTATAATATTTCTCTGTGGTTACGAGAGTTTAGTCCTGTAAATTGGCCTTTATATATGATATTGATCTTTATACAGTATAACCCATTAATATGTTACTATTCTAATTGAAGTCACGTCTTTTTCTATAATTTCCTTCTTCCTGATTACTTTCATAACTGTCAGGCTCAAACTTTAAGTCAACGAAATTAGGTAACTGTAACTGGTTTCAATTATATTTTCAAATTTCAACAAGTATTTCTTAAATGGTCTCATTTGTACTAAATTTCTACACAATATTTGTATTGACCAAATTTTGTACTCATGAATGTTCTGAAAAGGAGGTAAATTTTATAGAATAAGTTTATCATTACAAAAAAAGTTTATAAAGAAGTTTACAAAGCGAAGAAAAAAACAAAGAAAAAACAGAAAGAGAGAGAGAGAGAAATGATAAAAATGAAGGGTAAAGATTATCTTTGTATGTCTCTTTTGTAGGCTTCTTTGTAAGACTAGCATAATTTTATATACGTTTTTCGTAGGTAGATGTGTTGGTTGAATCTGGTCCACATTACAAGACGGGAGCATTTTGCTTCACAATTACAGAAAGGGTAGTTTAAAAGATGGAAATAACATTGACATCAAGCAAAAACAAAAGGAAAATCCTAGTATTATTGCCGTCCATGAAGGCTATAATAATTGTCCTTGTTTAATAAACAATTCGATAAGAGTGAAGTTTGTCTCCTTTCAGATGGTGATGGTATCTATGTCGTCTAATGTTATGCTTGCCGTCTTGTCTGTATAATAAACAGATGCTAATTTGACTTCAATTGTGTTACATAAAATTTGCAACAGAGAAAATCTCCCAGAAACCAGAGAGATGGAAAAACAAGACTGTAGAAGACTCAGGGTAGTTCTAGTTCCATGTCAATTCCAAGGCCACATCAATCCTATTCTTCAGCTGGGCACCATTCTTCACTCCAAGGGTTTCTCCATCACAGTTGCTCACACCCAATTCAAATTTCCTGACACTTCCAAACATCCTGGCTTCCTCTTCATACCATTATCATTATCAGAAGGCTCATCGAACACTAGTAATTTCCCAGATAATATTTTAGCTTTTATGTCTTATCTTAACTTAAACTGCAGAGCTCCACTCCAGGCAGTATTGATTCGGATCATAGAAGAACAGGATCAGCACAACAAGCTTCCCTGCGTCGTTTAGGATGGACTCATGTACTTTGCAGAAGCAGTGGCTTGCAATCTGAAGCTACCGAGCATTATGTTACGCACTTCTAGTGCGACCAATTTGCTAAGTTACTATGCATATCCTCGGCTCCAAGAGGAAGGTTATATTCCTTTCCAAGGTAATGAACTCAGCCTTATCTTCAATGAATTGACGCAGATACGATTTCTAATACCTGAGACTACCACTTTTTGGTGCAGATTCTATGAATTTGGAATTAGTGCCAGGGCTTCATCCCCTCAGATTCAAAGATTTATCCATTTCCAAGTTCAAAAATGTAGATGCCGTGTTGCAGCTAATATCTACTTCACGAAACATAGGAACATCCTCAGCCATCATTTGTAATAGCATGGACTGCCTTGAACAATCATCATTGGCACAACTCCAACAACAATGTGAAGTTCCAGTTTTCTTAATAGGCCCTATGCACAAAATAGCTCCAGCCTCCTCGAGTAGCTTATTGGAAGAGGACACCAGCTGCATGACATGGCTTGACAAGCAAACTCACAACTCAGTGATATATGTCAGTTTGGGCAGCGTAGTATCCGTGGATGAGAAAGAGCTAACAGAAATGGCTTGGGGCCTAGCCAATAGCAAGCAACCTTTCTTGTGGGTACTTAGACTTGATTCAGTTCATGGATCAGAATCTAGTGATTTATTTCCTTATGGTTTCAAAGAAACTGTTGGAGAAAGAGGGTGCATAGTGAAATGGGCACCTCAAAAGAAAGTATTGGCACATAGCGCGGTGGGAGGTTTTTTGAGTCATGGTGGTTGGAATTCGACACTTGAAAGCATAAGTGAAGGGGTTCCAATGATTTGTAGACCATCTTTTGGGGATCAAGGGATAAACACAAGGTATGTCAGCCATGTATGGAAAGTTGGGCTTGAGTTGGAAAATGGTCTGGAAAGAGGGGAGATAGAGAGAACCATTAAAAGACTGATGGTGGGAAAAGAAGGAGAGGAGATGAGGCGTAAGGCACTGGATTTTAAAGCGAAGGCTCAACTTTGTATTAGAGAAGGCGGTTCTTCTTACAATTCCTTGAATGAATTAACAAAGCTCATCTTCTCAGTTTAATTTTATCGAACTATTCTCTTGCTTTCCAGTAAGATGTAGATAATTGTATGTTCTTAAAAATCCTATATATTTATCTTGTAGCCTTCATTATAATATGCAAAGTACAATATATAAGTAATTATACATGAGTATGCGCAAAGGTTTTCAAGCTATAGTGCATGAACTGCACCCTTCCTGAAAGAAACTTTTATCGATCGCAAATAGTCTCTTTGGCCTAACTACTACTTAAAACATATAGATGGAGTTTGATTTTTACAAAACAGGTACAAATTGAGAGTCCGAGCTTGGCCTTCCTAAGCGGCTGCAACTTCACTGGGAGACGAGTTAGTCCGCTGGGTACAAGAACCAGTTAGACATCTAAAGAAACATATTTCGCTTGATTCATCTTCATTCTCATTCTCTTCCAGAGATCTCCCCATAGTTTCCCGAGTGAAGAAATACGTCACTGCCATTCCCAAAAAACAAACCCCACCCATCGTGATCAATGCTTTTGTCATACCTTCGGGTTTTGGATAACCGTCCTCATCTTCTTCTATAACCCACAACAATCCAACTGTCCCAATTAAGGCACCCACCTTTCCTATGGCCCCTGAAATTCCATGACATGTTGATCTAAATCTAGCCGGAAAAAGTTCAGCAGGCACAATAAAAGTGGTAGTGTTGGGTCCAAAATTTGCAAAGAAAAAAGTGAGGCCATAGAGGAACATAAACCAGAAATCTGCCTCTTTGTACCAGTGATACTGATAAGGTATTCCAATGGCCAAATAAACTATGGCCATAAAGAAGAAACCAAGGAATTGGATTCTGACTCTTCCAATCCGATCAATTAAACAGACAGTGACATAGTAACCTGGAATGGTTGCGCAGACTGCAACAATAGCCTGGACTATGGCAACTCTGATCACTTCATCAAAGGGATTGGTCCATTTATCAACGTACTTGTGGTAAATTTTGGATTGAAAGAGGTTGCTACTGTAAAAGACGATATCAATGAGGAACCATGACGTGGAACTAGCGAAGAGATCACGGCCATGGTGGCGAAGGAATTTTTTGGATAGGAGAGGATAAGATGGTGGTCTTGGTTCCAATGGGACCTCTTCTGTAATTTGACTCATTGAAACCTGTAACACTTTCTCCATGTCTTTAGCAGCTTGCAGAGCATTTTGTTCTACCAGAGCTGTATATCTGCATAAAATAAAATGCCAATCAAACATATATTCTATGTAAACGATTATATAAATAAATATATAAAAGAGAAATATATTTATGTACCTAGCAGTTTCGGGCATCAACATGCGCCAATAATAAGTCAAAGCAGCCGGGATTGAGCCCAGCATCAGTATTAATCTCCAGGCAATGTCGGCCCCAGCCAGATCAACTGAGGAATTTGATGGCGCTAGAGCAACCGTCGCATTTGATGGCGCCGGAGCAAACTGTGATGCATGTGATGCTCCCTTAAATATCTGACAAACCACCACGGTGACGATTGAACTTGCCAAAATTCCAAAACCCTGCATGGAAAACACAGCGGCTATGAAGGCACCGCGTGTTCTCTTGTTAGCAAACTCCGACATGATTGTTGCTGACAACGGATAGTCCCCACCAATGCCAACACCCAACAAAAACCTGAAAAACACAAGACTCCCGATTACACACTCCCTTGAGGTACAAACGGAGAAACCACATCCGATAGAGCTCATCACCATCAACATCAATGCAAGCCCATACACACGCCGTCTCCCGATTAGATCACCCATTCTACCGAAGATCAGTTGACCAATGACAGTCCCCAAAAGAGCTGTACCTACTATGATAGTCATAACAGGTTTAGGAATATTGATTGTTTTCTTCTCATCATAGTATATCCGGGAGATCAGTATCAGGATCGGAGGGATACAGAAGAGATCATAAGCGTCGGTGAAGAGCCCCATGCCGGCAATAATGATAGCTTTGAAGTGGTAGTACTGGGTTTTTGCAGTGTCAAGGGCAGAAAGGACCTTCAACGCCATTGATAATGAAAAAATTAAAGCAGAGAATTAATGTGTGTTAATCTGATAGTATAGTTAATGTTTTGATGAGTTCATATATATATATATATAAGAATTTATTTAAAGTGATTAAGTACAGTAAGTTTTACAAAGTACCAGGAAGTTTCATTGTTGACGAAGTTGATGTGGAAATGTTGACTGGTTTGAGGAATATTATGAGATTCCATGAAGGATATGCGGATAAGTTGATTTCAAATTCATTTTCTTCCTCAATTATGCAATTTTATAAGATTATGTCCACAGCTAGAAGTCTGTCTGGGCTTCCATTTGCTGCTGGATGATGAAAATTCTGAAGAGTTTGGACATTGAGATTAAGATGTTTTATACTGTGACAATTATTATGCATTAAATGTCACTTGTCATTCTAGGTTTCTTCATAAACTATGTTTGACAGAAATTAAGAATCTGTTACTTAATCGTTTTATCGTTTGATGTTTGTCTTCTCCCTATGGGAGCGCTAGCAGAGACTCTGAAAAAAAGTCCAAACCCTATCTACCATTGGAATCTTTTAACAAAACTTAATATAATACGCCTGAGTGCATGCATGGAAGAAGCTGAAAAACAACACTTGCCATATCATTTAGGAAGAAGAAGAAAGCAAAAAAGACTAAAAGGCAAACAAGATATCTCTTTTCTGTTACCAGCTGGTTAATATATACACCATTAATTATGCCGATATACACAGAGGCTAGTTCTGCAAAAGGAAAGAAGAAAGAGCGGAAAAATACAAGCAGTCTCACCAAAATCCATTTTATGGAAGGAGCAACAACTCTTTTCCATCGAATAATTAGATAGTGGCCATTTCCCATGGTCACCACATTACACCCATCATATCCCTTTTGACAGATCCCTTTGTTAAACCTGATGAAATGGTTGTTTACTTGGAAAAAGTTGATACAGCAACCAACAGTGCAGATTTCTTAATCAAAGTGGCAAGTACAGCGAAGTTTTGAGTGGTGAACTACTAAGATGGGTCTATAAAGAATGAAATTGGCAATTGTTGGATATGGTTCATTGTTTACATGCAGACGCATCTGGGGATCTCGCTCACGAGAAGTTCAATTAATAATTGGATTGTTATTAGTTTACTAATATTTGAGTTTAGATCAAATTCAAGTAAACCCAAATAGAGTAGAGTTTTCTATTATATATATATATATGGTGAGAAATCTGATGTAATCAAAATATAGAGTGAAAGTGAGCTACCATCGTTATTCATTGTAATTATTGTAGAGTTTTGAAACTTAATCTAAATTTTTTATTTGAATGCTGTGTGGTGAGAAATCTGATGTAATCAAAATACAGAGTGAAAGTGAGCTACCATCGTTATTCATTGTAATTATTGTAGAGTTTTGAAACTTAATCTAAATTTTTTATTTGAATGCTGTGCGTAATTTTTTAATCGAAACGAGACAAGGTAAATTAAATTCTTAGTTTACGCCATTCAAACTCTATATATAAAGTGAAAATCGAGTGTTGGTAGCAAGCTCTCTCTCAAATTAATTAGCATTAACTTCACAAAGTATAAGTATATCAATGGGGAGAATAACAATTTCCCACCCAATGTTTGGCGTAGTTAATTTTCTGACCAAAAAAGTTTGAAAAAACATTTTCCCACCCATTGTTAAAATTAAAACTTTAGTTTTAATGGAAAAAGGCTCGTTAGTTTGTACAATTATATATATTTTAGGGTTAATATTGCTTACACACCAAATTAAAAATACATAAAATTACCTTCACCAACTTGGGAATTAGCCATTTAAACTATCTTCAATTTTAATTTTAATTTTTTTTTTTCAATTTAACTTCTTAGAAAAAGTGTGTGAAGAATAAGAACCAGTTGGCTTGTACGTTGGCCAATCGTCATTAGTAGGATCTGGGTTCAATCGTCGGTGGCGAGTTCGGCCATATTGCTGGTGCTGTTGGATAGATCGGTGTGTAAATGAGGAGCCCCTTAGTGAAGTCGTTTCGTCAGAAAAGGATGAAAAAATATTAGTCAATCTTTTCTAGCAAAACAACTTCGCTTGAAGACTCACAGTTACACTAGCGATCTACCCAAGGTGTCGACGATGTTGCCAAAAGCTCCTTCAAGAACGACGTCAAAGAGTATTTCACAAAATAGTCTCCAATGTTTTTCAAGGAATAGTTTTCACTAGTGGTTTCCTTGTTTGTGCCATTAGATCGATCGTCCACCGACCTACCCAATAGCACCGATTGTGTTGTCATCAACTGTGGCCGGCGAATCGATCGACCATTCTATCTTTTTTTAATTTTCAAATATTTTAAAAAAAAATTTATTATAATTTTTTTATTTTAATAACTAACTTTACTTTTAATTAAAACCTTAAAACTAATATAAACTGAGCTAGGGGTGAAATATACTTTTAATAAAATTTGGGTGGGAAAAATTATTCAGTCTCATTAAAAATTATAAAGTCAAATAGTAAAGGGTATTATAGTCTTTTTGTACCTTTATCCCTATTAGGTAACAGATCTCACTAACGGATCTTAATGATGGGTGGGAAATTGTTTTTTTTCAAACATTTTGGGTGGAAAAATTTGTTATGCCAAACCTTAGATGGGAAATTGTCATTGAAACGGTAGGTCGTTCTAAAGTTGTTTTTTTTAACCCAGCTGAAAATTTATTTTACAAAAAAGCCCTTTAACAAGGCCCGTGGGGCTAAAATCTCTTGTAGAGGCCCAAGAAACGAAAATCTGATCAACTTCCAGAACATTCTACATTCTTCCTGAACTGAAGCCTAATCCAGTATATTATCCAAGAATCACGAAAGTACTAGAATACCCTTGCCACCCACTATAAGTACCCACTCCATCCTCTGCTGCCAACACGAGTAGAACTTTACTAAAGAGCTTTCCGTGATTCTGATTTCTCAGCTCAAAAATGTCTCTGATTCCTAGAGGAAACATTTTCGATCCATTTTCTCTTGATGTTTGGGATCCTTTCAAAGACTTCCCTTTCCCTTCTTTTTCCTCTTCACTTACCTCTCAATTCCCTCGGGAAACCTCTGCTTTTGTCAACACTCGTGTTGACTGGAAGGAAACCCCGGAAGCTCACGTGTTCAAGGCCGATCTTCCAGGGCTGAAGAAGGAGGAAGTGAAGGTGGAGATTGAAGACGACCGGGTGCTTCAAATCAGTGGGCAGAGCAAAATAGAGAAGGAAGACAAGAACGACACATGGCACCGTGTGGAACGTAGCAGTGGCCAATTCTCGAGGAGGTTTAGGTTGCCGGAGAATGTGAAGATGGATCAGATTAAAGCTTCCATGGAGAATGGAGTTCTTACTGTTACTGTTCCTAAAGTTGAGATGAAGAAAACTAATGTCAAGGCCATAGATATTTCTGGCTGAAATTAAAAATGGGTTCTTAATGTAAGTGCCTCTCTCCTGCGATAGAGTGTTATTGTGTTAATGTGGTTGGGTTTGTTGCTGTAATCGAGAATTGTGTATGAATAATGTGTCTGATGTGTTCGACGTAATGTAGAAGTGTACTGTTAATAGTAATGTAATGCTTGTATTCGTACGAAGTGTATTGTTAATGGCAATGTGATGTTTGTTTTTGTCCTGTGATTAAAACTTTCTTGAGTTTCATCTCCTTTTTAACCTTTGGCTGTTTGATGTTAAGAAAGTCACAGAAAAGAAGGGATTAAAAATCCATTGCATTTAAAGAAAAGTGAGGATACATACAGCCATGAAAGATAACTCAAATTACGTTGAACAGAAAATCTAAGATGAAATTCAATGCTCTGGCCAGTGTTTCTTCTGGACTCTTGGAGTTGTGTTTAAGAGGAGAACAACCCGTCGACCAATTCGTTAAAGGAATTATAAGAAGATCCCCCTTTTTTAATACAAGATTCAACTTTTGCTTTCATATCTACTGCCCTCTGTCTCATTTCTTCTCCTCCTTTTCCCGTCATTAGCCTTTTTATAGCTCCTCCTATTTCCTCTCTCCTCAAATCATTTTCCAACTCAAAGCCAACTCGCCATACATGGCTAATGTACCTCGTGTTTACCCTTTGATCCCCAAAACATGGTCTACAAATCATCGGGATTCCTTCACTTATACTTTCAAGCGTTGAATTCTAACCACAATGACTCCAAAACCCTCCCACAGCGCGGTGTGCTAACACCTCTCTTTGCGGTGCCCAGTTAACTATGTAGCCTCTGTTTCCAATGGTTTCTTTGAAACCATTAGGCAACGAATCAGTAGACTCTGATACATGAAACGAACCGGGAGGTCCACGCTTAAGCACCCACAAGAAAGGTTGCTTGCTGTTGGCTAGGGCCCAAGCCATTTCTGTTAGCTCTTTCTCGTCCATGGACACTATGCTTCCCAAACTTACATATATAACTGAGTTAAGAGCTTGCTTGTCAAGCCATGCCATGCAGCTTGCTTCCTCTTTCACTAAGCTGCTGGAGGGAGCTGGAGCAGTTTTGTGCAAAGGGCCTATTGAGAATACTGGTATGCGGCATTGCTGCTTGAGCTGAATCAGTGATGATTGTTCGAGGAATTCCATGGAATTCAAAATCATGGCAGACGAGGATCTTGTGTCGCGTGCACTTGCTATAAGCTTCGATAAGGCATCTAGATTTTCAGAACTCGCTCCAGGAAGATCCTTGAATCTGAAAGGAAGATCCTTGAATCTGAAGGGATGAAGCTCAGGGACCATGTCCAGTGCCATATCGTCTGCATCACCGGATATCATTATTTGATAAGCAGTTTTAAACAAGATTACTAGTTACATAACTAAATTTCTTTTTCTGATAAAGCAAACATCTATATACAATCATAAATAACAACCCAAGACCTTCTTGATTACAGTTGATACTATAGATGGCTTGATCACCAAGACGCAAAAGCGCAAGTAAAAGAAGTTGAGCAACCGTACCTTGAAAGGGAATGAAACCGTCATTTTGCAGAGGAGGAAAAGCATAGTATGTTAACAAATTGGCAGCACTGCCCGTGGACAGGATAACACTTGGAAGCTTTAGAAGATGAGCCACTTGTTCGGCAAAGTACATGTATTCATCATATATGATACAGGGGAGCTCTTTAAGTTGCTGTTTTTCATCTATCATCGGAGTCAATGATTCCAGGAGCGGCTCTTTGCAGTCGATATTAAGACATGAGATGAAATCTACAATCCCTTTGGAGGAGAGATCGGAATAGGATAAGCCATCTGAAATGGGTAAAAAGACAAAATCAGGATTATCAGATGGTTTAGGACTATTAAATTGGGTGTGAGCAATTGTGATGGAGAAGCCCTTGGAGTGGAGGATGGAGCCCAGATTAAGCATAGGATTTATGTGGCCTTGGAATGGACATGGAACCAAAACAATCTGCCGATCTCTCTGTCCTTGCTCTTCCATGTCTCTCTCTGAATAATCCGTCTACCAGTGGAAATGATAAAGTCTTAAATAAATCAACATTCACCTACTATCCATTGAAATTTCTCCGTTAAAAGCATAATGCTTGTCAAAGTACAGTCATTTTGTTTAATATTATCCTGCATAGACTACAAAAAGTCTGACCAAACAATTTATAGTCAATTGCAATTAAAGCATAACTTCTAGACTCAAAGATTTGAAGACAGATGTTTCGCCCTCCCTTCTCAGGCAAGTGTTTGGGCCATGTGTTATACCAAAAAAGGGTGGCTCGGGTTGCTTCTTAACAGTAGATTAACAGTTGAGTTATCTTTAAGGTCGTGTAATATCTTATAAAAGGACTTATTTACTATTAAGTCCGTGTTGTTATGCATTAAGAAAGTTACTACAAGAGTAAGGTTACTCATGCAACACTATAAATAAGGTCCTCTCACCCCAAATTAGGGATCGAGAATTTTATTTTCTCAATAGTTATAAAGTAATTATCTCTCTTGAAAACAAAATTTCTTGTAAACATATAAACAAAATAACAATGAACCTAAAGAAAACTAGAAACCCAAATGCCAAAATGCAATCACTATGATTTACTGGTTGTATATCTATAGAATCCAGGTTTTCAAAATAAAAATGGGAGAATTTTTTTGACACAATAACATTAAGAAAATTTTATTTATTTATAATGATATAAAGCCATTACATTGTATATATATATATATATATTTTAAAGAAAAAGACGAAGTCACCTGTTGAGTGCCTTCCTCCCAATTTTTATTAGAAGGCCTCACTTGTGGCTGAGGAAAACCGTGGAACAAACTGGAAAAAACCTGGGATTAACATAAATTCTAAAACAATCCTAACAACCAAAATAATACGGAAAACAAACCATCCTGAACCAAAACCCACAAATTCAAGTTTACCGTCTCAACTGAGGCAAACCCGCCTTGTCCAATCGAAGAATGCCTTTTAACTTCCTAGGTAAAGAAATAAAATCCAGGAAGGTATTATTATTACCCTCCTCTCCCCATCTAGCCAGGAAATCTGCTTCGCTTTTCCCTTCGCGTAATTGATGAGTTATGGTGAAATGAACGTCTCTTAACAGAATCAAAAGCTCATCCCAATAGTCCCATAAGTACCAAGCCGTGCTCTTTCGACTACTCAACCAAGAGACAACCAAAGTGGAGTCACTCTCAATATTTAATTGATTAAAACCCAACTCTTTACACAGTGAAACACCAGTTAGTAACGCTCTCAATTCAGCTTCATTATTAGTGCCATGCCTGAAAGAAAAAGAGAAAGCCCCTTTTAAATTGCCTTGCACATCTCGAATGACACCTCTTCCCCCACAGTTGCTTGGGTTGCCCCGACAACAGCCATCAACATTCAGTTTAATCCACCCTTCAGCCGGT